CATCTGTAACAATAACACATATGGCACTCTGTTTAGGGCAAATCTGGAGTCTATTCCAGAGCATGAATGTGAGTGTGTGTGTGTGTGTGTGTGTGTGTGTGTGTGTGTGTGTGTGTGAGTGTGTGTGTGTGTGTGTGTGTATGTGAATGTGTTGATCTCAAATTAAAATTTATTGAAGATAGAACATCTTAACTTCGAACTCGCTGAGACCTTCCGATGTCTAAATTTAAAAATCTGTCATTTCTTCACGTTGTAATTTCCCAAAACAGCATACAAGTTGTGACCGGGAGTAAGCTTCGTTCTGACAGTTGAAGGTATACCAGTGGTGTGTAGGTACTCACTTCCACTCGGGTGTTCAGCCCCTGCGAGTACTCACTCGGGTATTTCATAATTACTCCGACTCCCAAGTCCAAAAATACTGGACTTGCACACATCCCCTTAACACAATTCAAGATCAGGAACTATCGAGAGAATAATATCGCTACTGCTGGAGTGACTTCGAGCAAATACGTTTGAATAACATCATGAAAATGGCAAGAACGCAAAAAACATTTCCACAAAAACAAAACCAGTAACAGTTTTTGTCAACCTTACTAATAAACAAAACAGACATATACAGTTTTTTCGTCAGAGTTTTACGGCACTCGCAACTGCATAAGGTCATATGAGCGCCAGAAGATTAGAGGTGTCACAAGAGAGTAACAAACATAAAAAAGAAGAAGGGGAGATGAGGACGATAGATGTTTGATAGTAAAGAAGGAACAAACTACACCAGAGCACCCGCCAACCACCCACCATATTACACAGTACATCGTCTATAAGTGAGTACTGGGAGGGAAAAAAAAAGCAGCTACAACCAAATCCCTCCGAAATATCAAATGCCCTCATAAGAGTTAAGTTGAAGAGACCCTCTGTCTGGTTCTATACACAATTCATGAAGTTGCATGTACAAACAAAAAGGCAGCTGACAGTCACAACTAACATAGAGTTCAACAGAGAGTAAATTCAGAGAATAATAATCATTTTACTAAAGAAAATAACAAAAACAACTAATTCTAATCCCTGAACTTAAAACTAATGCAAAGACGCCCAAAGCTTTCATGGTGACAACATAACAACATAAAACACAAAAACTGGACAAAATGAATAAGTGCCCAAAACAGTTGTGCGGCCGTCTAGACAAGCTCTCCAACAGTTGTGCGGCCGTCTAGACAAGCTCTCCAACAGTTGTGCGGCCGTCTAGACAAGCTCTCCAACAGTTGTGCAGCCGTCTAGACAAGCTCTCCAACAGTTGTGCAACCGTCTAGACAAGCTCTCCAACAGTTGTGCGGCCGTCTAGACAAGCTCTCCAACAGTTGTGCGGCCGTCTAGACAAGCTCTCCAACAGTTGTGCGGCGGCAGTCTAGACAAGCTCTCCAACAGTTCAGTTCTTCTCCTGCTCCTGCAAGAACTTGAAGGTGGAGGAGAAGTCCTTGCCGCCGTAACCATGGTTACAGAGCTGGCGGTATATCTGGAGGGCGGCAGAGCCCAGCGGCGTGGGGGACTGTGTCACGATGGCGGCCGACTGAGCCAGGCCCAGGTCCTGAGGGGTACACACAGAGAACAGGCTCGGTGAAAGCATGGTACAGACAGATGTGTGTGTGTTAAATGTGGGGGGGTTTGGGAGGGTAGGGGGAGGTGGAAAGAGACGCAAGGGGGGGGGGGGAATTTCCTCTTTCAGTTATTGAAAAATGATGAATGGCCATATCAGCCTGAATAGAAATGTCCATCTGCTCCTCTCCACTGCCCCCCCCCCCCCTCCTCCACATTCCACACCCACATGCACTTTTTCCATTAAAAAAAATAAGTCAGAGACCCATCCCCAAAAGAAAAAATAAGTGAAATGAGTGACGTTTTAAGACATGTTTAGAGGGGTTTTTCCAGCTGTTTAAAGCTGAACACTCTTCAAAAGGGGTTTGGGAGTTTTCCTTAAAGTTGAATAATATCTATTCAAAGGGAATTTCTTTTTTCCTTTTCAAAGTCGAATAAGACCTGTTCAGAAGAGCGAGGATTTTTTGTTGGTCTTTTTTTTTGTTTTATATATTAACAAACCTCAGATCGGTTGGAGAAAAAACGTTTTGCCATTACCTTCGTCATGAGAGCAACTCCGAAGCCACCCTGATAGTCGTTGCTGGAGGGGACTCCTGGCAACACGCCAGGCACCGGGTTGTACAGCTCGCTGGACCAGCAGCGGCCTGTGCTGGTGTTGAGGATTCCCGCCAGGAGCTTGGGGTCAAGGCCGAGTCTGAGGGAGGGAACGTAACGGTGGCGAGAATTTAGGGTGCGAAAAACAGTTGTAATTCCTGAGGGAGTATTTTGGGTTTTTTAGTTCAGATTTCAGAACATTGACGCAATAACGGTCATTTAGCGGTGGGAAAGATCAACAATGATTTTTGATGGTTTGTCTGTTTTAGTAAGATTATACGACCCTCGCAACTGCACAAGGTCATATACGCGCCAAGGGGCGGAAGTTAATAGAGAAGTCCAAATGGGTAATCAGGCTTACTCTACTCACCTCTCTAGCTTCAACAGCACAAAGTCTGCTTCGACTATCAAGGCACCCCAGAAAAAGCGGGTCACAAGAGAGTGACAAAAATACAAAAGAAGTAGAGGGAAAATGCCGAAAGTAAGGATGAGGAAAGAAAAAGCAGCAGTTCCCCCTATGTTGTTCCGGCACAGTACGAGCATGACATTAATAAATAAGCCCCTTTACAATTCTACTGTGCATAAGAACATGATGTTAATATTCCCCATTTGGAAATGGCCCAAAGACAACTTCAGTCGGTAAAGAACTGCCCTGGTGGG